AAAAAAAAAAAAAAAAAAAAAAAAGTTAATACATAAATTATGAAATCAGTTGAGGGAGGGGGTACAATTTTTTAATTTAAAATAATTTAATTGTAGGTTTTATATGAAAATTATTGGCCTGTATTTAGCTAATGAGATTATCAATGCCTGGTGACATTTTTGTAACTTGTCATTTGTCATTGCTACCCCGAGTACCTGTGCGATGGTCAGGCCAGATCTGGTCCACTGGCCGTAGTTTTCAAAGGACAATTATATTTTAATGTCTCCAACTCTGAGCCCAAAGCCTTCTCATATTCTAAATCAAGTGTCCTCAAACTAGCCTCATGACGCCAACACGACAATAAAAATATATAAAGGTAACTTAATATGTTCAAGACTATATGTCAAAACACATACATCAATATTAATATATTGTATGCAATTTCCTGTCGTATTGTATTGTAATTGTAGGTGTAATTTACCCCTTACAAGTGAAATTAACTTTGTCAGGTGAACTCCTGTCACTGACTTACCAAATCACGGGAAATTTTTAAAAACATTTTTAAAAATTCAGTCAGGCGAAGAGATCCATTACAAATTTTTGAAACATAAATTAAGAAAAAAATGTAGGAAGACCTAAGCTTCCATCTTTTGAAGCCTTTTGCATCTTACGCAGGTAATTTGTATGAAATAACGTTATTGAAACGCACCTAGCAACTGATCACCTTTCCAGGTATAATTCAGTGCTTCTCAAAATGTTCAGCGTGACTAACCAGCAGCTGTGATGCCCATTTCAGGAAGGACCAGAGAGGTGTTTTATATAGATTGTTGCTGTTTGTTTCTATTTTTTACTTATATTTAAATTCACCTTGTACGGACCATTGACTGACGACTCGCTGATCCGGTACCGGTCCATGTACCACAAGTGACTAGAATTTTTAGAATCACTGTCACTTTTTTTTTTTTTTTTTTTTTTTAACGGGACCTCCCCCCTCTTATAAAAAAAAAAAAAAAAAAAAAAAAAAAAAATAAAATTTTTTTGTTTTTTTTTTTTTTTTTTTTTTTTTTTTTTTTTTAACGGGAATCTCCGCTCATGATTAGACAAAACATAACAGAATTAAGAAGAAATGAAAAGATTTTGATTTCACTTTGAAGGGACTTACCCTGTACGTTACGGGTACCAGACATTGATTTTGTTAAAAACGTTGACACGAAAGTCTTAAGTCAGCTGAAGGGGTGAAAAGTATCGTCTTTTTCTTTGTCACTCAAAAGCCTTCTCAGGCGGAAAAATAATGACGAATATAAATATGAAAGATTAATTAAATGAAAAGAAAAAAAAAAAAGAATTCTTAGTTTTAAGTCCTAGAGCGTTGGATTCACTGGACTTCAAACCCGGAGATGGAGTCCCGTAGGCGGATAACAGTGACACAATGAAACATTCCGACAACTCCAGCGACGCCACTGGTGCCAAGTCGTATCATCCACATATGATGTTCCCTTGGGTTATCCAGCAGCGTAGAGGGGGGCAATTTGCTGTGTATGGAACCAGCTTGTAATCCTAGAAGAATAATCCCAGGTCTTGTGGATTTCATCCTGCGAAGTCTGCACCATCGTCAAATTGTGACGGACATATGCCAGCAATTCGCTTCATATTACTTTATGCATTCATCCATATGGTTTACTCTAAAGAGAAGGTTCAGTCTAAAGAGAAAGTTCAGTCTAAAGAGAAGGTTCGGTCTAAAGAGAAGTTTCACTCTGAAGAGAAGGTTCACTCTAAAGAGAAGGTTCACTCTAAAGAGAAGGTTCACTCTTAAGAGAAGGTTCACTCTTAAGAGAATGTTCACTCTGAAGAGAAGGTTCACTCTTAAGAGAAGGTTCACTCTGAAGAGAAGGTTCACTCTGAAGAGAAGGTTCACTCTGAAGAGAAGGTTCACTCTGAAGAGAAGGTTCACTCTGAAGAGAAATTTCACTCCTAAGAAAAGTTTCACTCTAAAGAGAAGGTTCACTCTAAAGAGAAGGTTCACTCTTAAGAGAAGGTTCACTCTTAAGAGAAGGTTCACTCTAAAGAGAAGTTTTACGCTTACTCCCCATATGTTTAAGTCCAAGAATATGAATGTACCAGGAATCCATTTCTGTCATCTGACTGATGGAGAATAAACTAAAATAACGCCTGAATTAACAACTAAATTAACAACTGATTTGGTTGGCGTAGGGAAGGGGGAGGAGGGAAGGGGCGGTTTACCCCGGGTGCCACATTTTTTTCTTCATATGGAGGGTCGGCATTTTCGACCAACTGCTGTTGTTTCGTAGTTGGGGTGGGGGTGGAATATTGCCCCCCCCCCTAGTGAATTTAGCCATAGACGCCCCTGATAATTGGAATCTGTTAAAATTATACATGACGTGGTTGATGTGGTTTTTTTATAAGCGTTTAAAAAAAAAAAAAAAACATTCCAAAATAAAAAAGAAATATTTTTGGGGCGGTTTACCCCGGGTGCCATATTTTTTTCTTCATATGGAGGGTCGGCTTTTTCGACCAACTGCTGTTGTTTCGTAGTTGGGGTGGGGGTGGAATATTGCCCCCCCCCTAGTGAATTTAGCCATAGACGCCCCTGATAATTGGAATCTGTTAAAATTATACATGACGTGGTTGATGTGGTTTTTTCATAAGCGTTTAAAAAAAAAAAAAAAACATTCCAAAATATAAATGAAATATTTTCATGAAATTTGTTGCATCATCACACATTGCGGTATTACCCTTTATTTAAGTCCCCTTGTGTCTTAATTGGGTCAGCTTAACCCTTCGTGTACGGGTCAGTTTAATCCCCGATATCTGGATCAGTTTAATCCCCGATGTATGGAATCAGTGTAATCCCCTATATATAGTTCAGTTTAACCCACGGTCCGGTCTACGAGTCAGTTTAACCTCCGATGTCTGGGTCAGTTTAACCTCCGATGTCTGGGTCAGTTTAACCTCCGATGTCTGGGTCAGTTTAACCCCCGATGTCTGGGTCAGTTTAACCTCCGATGTCTGGGTCAGTTTAACCTCCGATGTCTGGGTTAGTTTAACCCCCGATGCCGTCTTAAGGCATGGGCACAGTGGGCACTTGCCCAGGCCCCCGCGCTTCTAGGGGGGCCCTTGCTTCTGGGAGACTCACTCTTATAAAGGCTTCATGTTGCAAATATTATTAATGAATATTGAAAAGTTTTGGCAACTAAATTTGATTTAAAAATCAGTGGACAGCAAGTTTCCCAATTTTAACCCACGATTTTATCGGCACGTTCCAAAATTAATATTATAAATGCGAATCACAAGCTGGATCTGTTTTAAACAGGTCCTTTATTAATCAAAGAAGATAGGCAAAACAGAAGTACTGGCATAAAGTTCTGACTCGTGGGATTTATGTCATTCGTTTTCTTGCCTCCAGAGGTTTGGGTCAAACTATTGGGTCAGTAAACAATGGAAATTGTTTAGGTATTTTAGAGCTGCTGGGTGAATTTAACCTTTTTTTGGAAGAGTATCTCAAACTGTATGGAAATGCTGGAAAGGGTAACACATCATATATGGTGGCAAATATTTGAGAAAAATTTATTGATCTAATGGAGCAACATGTCCTTTGTGCTATTCTGGAATAAAATAAAGAGTCAAAGTATTATTCAATAAGTTATGATTCCACTTCAGACATTTCACACATTGATCAACTGATATTTATTTCCTGTACATTCGATAATGTAAGTTTGTGGAATGTTTTATCAAGTTAATTTCCATATTTTCCCATGGAGCAAAGGATCTGACAGACACTGTTTTGTATCAAAGATTCTAGCAGACAATGTTTTGGATTTGCTGAATGAGAACGAAATTTCGCCTTCAATTTGCCATGGTCAATCGTATGACAAGCTTAACATTTATATGTCTGGACGCTACACTGGATTGCAAGCACAGGTTTGCCGTGTATGTCCCTTGTGCTGGACACAGCCTGAACTTAGTGGGCTTAAAAGCAGCAGAGTGTTGTCTACAAGTTGGAAAATTCTTTGACTTTGTTTAGAGCCTATATACCCTTTTCTCAGCTTCTATACATCGATGGAATGTTCTGGTATCTTCCTTAGGAAAATCTCTCTTTGTCGTAAAGCATCTGTCTGAAACAAGATGGTCGGCACATTTTGAGAAACGTTTCGAAAAAAATACAAGATGCTCTGGACTCTGTATCAGCCGACACTGATCAGGAAAAGAAAAAAACAAGGCGTGAGGCAGAAAGTAATAAAATGGAGAACCTGATAATTTATCATCATCTGGGATGAATTATAATGTATTTCTGATAATGTTTTAAATCCATTATTGCACTGGAATTAATTTTTTTTTTAGTATAAATAAGTTGAATTAACCAATTTCTCTTGGTCAATTGGGTTGGGAGCAACAACTGTTTGTGCCCCCCCCCCCCCCCCACTGTTTGAGCATGGGGCGAGTGCCCCACTTCGCCCCCCTTCTAATGACCCTGGTGTGTTGTGTTGCTGGGGGCCCCTGTGCATTGCTGTCCCCAGGGCTGCGCTTCAGCGATCCCCAGGGTAAAGACCATTTTGAGATTCACCGCTTTAGTTAGTATAAGTGATTTTTTTTCATTTTAATCAGAATTTGATATAAGTAGACTCTGATGTTGAAAAGGACATCGGTAACTGTCAGTACTAGCTAGTGTTTAAGTTAAAGTCACAAGACAAGTGAGAATTTTTATATATTTAAAAAAAATAAAAGCCGAGTCCTTCAGAAATCAAAACTCCATTGGCTCCAACTCCATGATGAAAGCAAAAAAAAGGACTAGAGAGAGAGAGAACTTGGGTTGTGTCATTTCATCATTTCAGTGTGCGGGTGTTTATTAATAATGAAAACATTTGTTTTGCAAGCGATGCCAACAGTTTCAATAACTGTATTGAATGCTGAAATCTGTTCCATCTAATTGGTATTTGAGCTTTGATAATTTTTTTACAATTGATACAACACAATTAATGAAGGCAATCTTTTTTCTTTCTTTTTTTTATTTTTAAGAAAAAAATCAATTTGTTATACAAAAACAAACAAAAAACCCATTGAAATTAAACACAGAATTATTTTTTTTTAAATGCAGACTATCCAAAAGAAGTATCTTGTTTTTTTACATATGATCCAGCCATCTTGTAATGTTTAAATAGATTCAGCTACACTCTTCATAGACTGAAGTTGTCTTGGAAGCTGTCATACTTAAGATTTACATTCATTTTTCTTTCAATAAATTTACAAATGTTTTGTTTCATGGATCGCACTTAATGTGGGGTAGGTGTGCTGATATTGCACATAATGTAGCATAGGCATGCTAGTTGAAAACTACTTCATAATAATCTTTTTTTTTTTCATCCCACTATCACTGGGTGAAAAATAACATCTCACAAAACACAACAAACTGGTCCTGTCGGTTTGCTGCTGCACTGCAAAGACCAGAACCAAACTTGTATTGCTTTGATGTAAGCCATAACTCATCTACATAGCTTTACTCATCCACATTGTTTTATTCATCCACATTGTTTTACTCATCATTATAGCTTTACTCATCCACATTCTGACACACAATTTATATAGTGACGATTCTATTGAAATTGCCGCTTAGTTTTATTATCTTTTGCTAGTGCTGCCAAGCCTCAGATCTCTCTCTATTTCGTACTGTCGCTGGTCTGTCCTGTTCAAAAATGCAACCCTTTCGGTGTAACTGTAAAAAGCAAAGCATATGTTATAGTATTGTTAAATATTGTTGAAAACTTGAATATAAAATATGGCTCTTTGATTCTTAGGTAGCCTCTAGAGAAGAAATCTGTTTTTTAAAATGTTTCATTCATAAAGAGACTGAATACTGTAGAGATGTTGAAACAGTTAAGTGTATTGAATTCAATTGATGTTAGATTTGACTTTTTGAATGATGTAAATTAATATCAGTCAGGGCTGGGAACGGGAGACAACTTTGTTGACAATGATAGTATATTAGTGTGTTAGTATGACTTCATGTCAAGGATTGTGTTAATGCTTGCTTATAATGTCAGACAGGTATTGTATTCTAATGCAGCTAAAACAGACTAATTAACTCATTCCCTACAATTTTTATGGACTAAACGAGTCATATTGGGGTCGTGATGGATGAAACCAATTGCATCTTGACACATTTCTCTCGTTATTTAAAAATAGCAATGAAACCACATGGCCCTTGAGACTTAAGGTGACTTCAATAAAGAAAAACAGAATTTTTTTCATCATTTTACATTTTTAATCTATGTGCACTCTTAGTACAGTGCATGTGTATGTCAGAGGTGCAAAAAATAAATATTTTGGTTGTTGTTCTATATCTTTGTGGCAGTTAACATATTTTCTTAAATCTAATTCATTTCTGGATGCTTTTGTCTAGCATTTTTTAAAAAATTAATCAATATTTAGGACCTTGATAAAATATTTTCAAAATATAAATTGAATTCCTTTGTAAGGGAAATGGCCAAGGATTAAATACTTTGTTAAGGAATATGGATTAAATACAAACATCACCCAGTGGTAAGCAAAGAGTCAACAAAATAACCAATTTTAATTTCACCTGAACTTTTTCAGATTGTTTGTATCCGGATTCAAAGATATAAATTGTATGATCTATACCCATAACCAAATGGATATGAACCACTTCCACTGCCCTGGTAAGAATAAACTTTCTTCTATTACAACACTGCCACCAGGGAGTAGAAGTAATACTCTACTCACCCCTGTTTGCCTTTGTTATGAATCTTCAAATCTTCTTCAATGCCTTCTTTCCTCTTGAAGGAATCCCAATCAATTTTAGACTTTTCCTGTGAGATTAGTTATAAACCTACACATCACTAATGGAAAAGATTTTTGGTAGAAAAACATTCCTATTTGACAAAATAAAATACTGCATAACTTATTCTAGAAGAAGTCTGTCCAAAATAAAGGAGAGATCCACAAAAAGTGCCATTTAAAGCATACCAATGAAGAAAAAAGTTTTGTAGACTACTTGTATTGGGATTAAAAAAAACATTAAGAGTTAACAAGTGTAAATAGGCAAATATAGATGCAACCAAATCCTGCTGTAAACAGATGATGGTTATGCCCCATTTAATTATTAAATTTTAATATGGTACCTAATTTAGAGTTCTTCTGCTTGATATACTTACCAGCGTTCCCATTTTATTTTTTTTATTTATCTTATTCAGAACACTACCCAGACCTCCACCGGTGGCAGGACGTTTGGTTCCTAGCCTGCCGAAGAGTCAGGACAAAATAAAAGTCTTCAATTATGAATTTACAAAAAATGATTTGAAAAAAAAACGAAAGATTTAAAACTCTGATACAACGATGGTAAAAATTAACTAGTAGATAACATCTAGTTTTTTTTAAATGTCTTATCATATATGCTGCCAGCTTCTTTTTTTTTTATGATGGTGCTAAAATAAAATCACAAAAGATAATAAATACTCTGTTCAAGATGAAATAACTCAATCCCACTAGTTCAAGTTGTAAAATTTGTGATGAACTTTTCATTATAATTAATGACCTGAACCATTTTAGATGACATAAAATTACCCGATGGAAGTTTTCAAAACAGCAGCTGTTGAACTTGACTTTTCCTGCGTTAAATTTTCTTGTTTTTTTTGTTCTTCCTTAGCCTCTTTAGAATCTGCATCCACTTCTTTTGTGATCCTATAGAAATCAAAAAATGGAAAGATGGTGTAATTATCACAAGGCATAGTTGTATAACTGCATCAGGATGGGACATGTAGCCCGTAAGGAGGATCACCGGCTCCCAAAACAGATTTTCTTCGGAGAACTTCTGATAGGCAAGCGCTCCCAAGGAGGTCAAAAAAAGCGTTACAAAGACTCACTGAAAGCGGCACTAAAGGCCTACAGCATCAACCCTACTAAATGGGTGCAGACAGCCCAGGATAGAGCCAGTTGGAGAGCAGCTGTCAAGAAAGGGGCTAAATCTCATGAAGCCAGTAGGATAACCACAGCTAAGACGAGGAGGCTCAAGAGCAATAGTAGATCACCGACAGCAGCAACTATCCCCTGCCCCCAGTGCCAGAGATTTTTTCCGAGCAAGGATCAGTCTAGCAAGCCACATACGAGCTCACCATAACCCACCCTCTCCCCTAACCGGATGACTCGATGTTCCTAGTCGATTTTGACGGAAGAACAACAACATAGTTGTATAAAGACCAACTGTTAGAACTAAAGTAAAAGCTGAGGTGGCCTTTGGAAACCTGAATGGAGGATTCTGTGCTTGGCATCTCCGTATTAAATTTGTTTTCTGTAAGTTTTCTAATATGTCTAAGTATTTTTTTCAAAAACTCGACAGAAAACATGTTAAATTTTATTCTTCCTCTAAATTGGCAAAGAGTGTTTGTTATTCTCAAACATTCTCTCCCAGCTGTCAATCAAACATTCTCTCCCAGCTGTCATATACTGTGCTGTAAATGAGCCTTAGCGTGTCGATGAAACCAACTGGTGAAGTGTAAAAACTTACTTGATCTCCTCCCCTGCAAAGTCAAATACTTTTGTGATAGTGACTTTTTTAACTTTCTCATTACTAGAAGGTGTTTCCAGTTTTGTTTCAGTAGCTGTTTCATTGGAAGACTTGACCTAATTGATCAAAATGTTACAAAAGAATAAGCCCATGTGTAAATCACTTGTTAAGATTCATTTGTTCGTTCCTATCTTGAAAAAAAAATAAAAGAGGATTTCATGAGCTTTTAAAATTAGATGTCCTCCTAGCGTGATGCACATCGTTTGGCAAACAAGCAAACAACTAGATTTTGACACTATTCTGGCAGTGACCCATTGGTATGAATGAAGTTATAGAAGAACAAGTCATGAATTTAAAGATGGCCCAATGAGCTCCAAAAGTATTCATATTGGTGTTGTAAAAGCTGATGTAGTGTTTTTTTTTTAAATATTTAAATATTCCTAAGGATTATTGAAATTTAATATGAACTATCAGATTATTTCTGGTATGCTAAAATACTTTTAGTTTTAAGCAGTGACAGCAAAGATATTTGTAAATGTTCTCACTATATATCTTGTCTTATGCTCTTTAAATTTTTAGGAGTGTAGACAATGTTTTGTATATTGAAGAAAGAGTTTTAAAATAAAAAGATATCACAGGACTTAAGATACATCAGTCATCAGAGATTCCAAATTCAAAGTTTTATATGGTATGACTTTTTTTAAATAGAAACAAAGCATTTTGTTTACTCAATTAATGATTTGAAAAAGCAGAAGAAAATCATTACCTGCGAAGATAGTGGGCCAGGCAGTGGACTGGGGCTGGTATTTGTTGATGGACGTGGCGTTGGCTTGACGCCAGACATAAAACTAGACCATAAGTCATCTGCCCGTTTTTTTTCTTTTTCTTTCCTTTTCTCTTCTTCTTCTTTTGCTATTTGTTCTGCAAGTTCTTTTCTGCGCTTCGCCTCCTCTTCACTTTCTGCTAGTTCTGTCCCATCAGCAGGTACGGTTTCATCAACTTCATGCAGTTTGATTCCACCACGCCGTTTCCTAAACAAAAATAAAAAAAGAAAGCTCTTTCATTTTCATTTGTTTTTCTAGAATTTCTAGACTTCTTATATACAATCATTATTAGAATCACTACATTGCTAGACCAAGTCAAGATTAATAGTTGTTAAATTAATTTTTAACTCTGAACATATGTCTATACAATTAACATCCCTCTCTAAAACATCAGTGTTGCCGAATTGGAAAGAAAAGCACTAGTTCTATTACCTGGCACCAATTATGTTTTTTGCTTTAGTTGTGTTTTTCTTTTTTGATGATCCTTTGGTTGGTGAGGTATCACCATCGTGCAGCACAGAAAGATCTTCTTCATCTCCTGAATTGTCTTCCTCACTCACTTGCTCCCCCTCTGTCAGCAAATTTAGAAAGATAAATAATGTTTTTATCAATAAAATTCCCATCTCCAGTACTCCTAATGATATCATTAGAGATAAAATAACCTCAGTGAATGAAAAGTGGAAGTTTATTCCCCCTCGTTTTTTTTTTCTTTTTTAAAAATTATTCACTTACTTCAATACTTCCTTTTAATAAAGGTAATTTACACCAGATTTTAATAACTTGCTCAGAATTATTTAAAATTTGTGATGCCAATCTTCAGTTACTTAAGTATTTTGCACTGGAAAATGCAGGTAAACTTTACATGCTGCATTAAGTGGCTCCTCAGATGAGTTTGGAGTTATGTATTTCAAGTCAATTTGACAATGGCATCCCATGACAAAATGACTCTGTCAAACAACCCAGTTAAGACTTTTAGTGTATACAGGTAATAGAGGTCCCCCAAGTGAACTACTTTATATTTCTGTATTCTAAAGATTTAGATTTTTAGCTGTGTTTATTTCATACAGGTTTTTTTTCTTATTATTTTTTATTCTTGTGTTGAAAGTGTGGGAGGGGTCTCATGAATTGGTGACATGATAGAGGTGAACAGCATACTTCTTTTTTCAACCAATCAAAAGACAGCACTTTTATTGTTTTGTTTACACTGGTGTTCATCTAGGTACTAGGGGTATCAGCAAGGATGAGTTCCTTGCCTTTTTTTTTTTTAAAACTTGCTTGTATAATGAATTTTAATAAAAACGAATGGGAATTTCACTTTAACTTTAATATGTTTCATTTAAATTTATTTTATGCTAAGTCGAGAACGTGAAGTTATTATGCACATCGGTCAGGTCCAACAATTATTCACCTTGACTCCAGTGTTGGCATTTCCCAATGTGATGTCACTCTTAGCAAAACCCACACTGCTAACCCAATCTATACCCTATTTCTCTTTTCATCCAATCAAAAGACAACACTTTGCATACATTTTATACCCCGTATCATGGTTTTGGCAAGTTAGCCAGGATTAGTTTTTTTTGTATTTCTATTGAACCTTGTAATAGTTGAATTTTAATAAAATTAATGGAAAATTTCAATTTTATTTAATTAGATTTCATTTAAACTAAACTGAATTGACTGTCAGATTAAGTTGTCATGACGCGAATAAAGCTTGGTGAAGAACTGGAAAGTTATCCCACATATCGTTCATGTTCAACCTAGAGGTTGGGATTCCACAAAATAAGTGAGACCAAAGCGCTTAGTGCTAGTAGTAGTGTGAAAAAAATCATCACACTGCAAACTAAATATTTTGTAATTTTGAATAGGGATAAAATAATAAAATATAAATTATAATAATAATATTAATAATATATTATAATATAAGTTAATACAACATAACATTTTATTACAATTACAATGCTTAAATTTCTGGAATGGATCATAAGTCATAATATAATTAATCATTGATGATAATTAAATGAAAATAATTGGCTAATTTTACGGCATGACTCAAGTAAGCCACATGACATTTGGTTGTAATTGTTGTTATTAAATTGTTATAGTCTTGTAGTATAAGTTACTGAGTAAAATTAGTAATGGCATGTGGCAACTTAGAATTAGCTTTTTGACACTTAACTTAATAAGTCTAAAACTAAAGTGCCCTTAAGCCTCCCTCATCTCTACTAAAATTAAAAATAAATATAATCTTACTTTGCCTTACACTAAAAAAAACTAATTTACTTAACTAACTTACCTTACTACTCAGTGACAAAAGTCTTAATTGTGAGTCTAATAACATTAACAACTCGAAGTCGTAATTCTAATAATTATAATTCTACTTATAGTGTAAGTGTAAGTCTTTAGTCTAAAGGGTAGACCATCAAACCTACAAACTACTATTTAGTATTATTACTTTGACTATGTGAATGTGTGTATCAATATCATGTATGACTCAGGGCCGGCACAGGTCGCCAAGGCCATAGGGACGCCCAGTAAATATTTAAATTCCCTTAGTTTATTATAGTGAAGTGTAAACCCTTGAGTCCAGGGTTGAGAAGCGGAATTTTAACTTTTTATTTTTGTACATTCGTTCATTCGATTTTCATACAACGAAAGTTGCATTCTTAATGTGGATACTAACACTCGAGTTGGGACCAACCAAAAGGGCGTGGAAATTAGGGATGGGGGCGCCGAACGGGTGCTTAGCACAGGGCGAAATTTTACCTAAGGTCGGCGTTGTATGACTGTTCGATTATGAATCATGAATTATTATCACCTACCCGATGGAATGTAATCAACGTCTTCTTCAGAATTGTAACCCTCCTCATCCGACATAGTATTTATTTACTCTTAAAGTACGGGGTATGAAGAGTATGTTATTTATTTTATTTTATATTTCAGAGGACTACACAAATTATTAATTCTAATCCTACTCTTCCATTGAGACTATTGATAGTCACTATTGCTATTCATTGCTATTCATTCCTTTCATTATCATGGAGGAAAAAAGCGAATACATAAAGCAGCCTGACGATTTGGTTTTAAAGTACACACTGCATTTCGAGACTAAAAAATTAAAACGCAATTTAATTATTTGTTAAATTATCATTTTAATCAAATTTAATAAATCAAACAAAAAATATTATTTTCATAATGAAATAATTTAATATAATTAGTAAATTAACGTCTATCCATAATTTTTTTGAAATTCCTTGGCATAAGGATGAAATTATATAAATAAATTAAAATAAAAATTTCCTGTGGCATATGACTTAGCCTTTTTCATTGAAAAACGAGCTACACGTATTACGGTTCCGTTTGAATGAAGTGTATGATAGGTTTGATTTTTTAGTTCATATGAAATAAATTAATTAAATAACTATTCTTCTTGCATAATATTTCGTTATATTTTAATAATAACATTATATTTTTTTAATAATCACAAAAGTATAATCCAGAACAAAGAAATTGATTTTAATTATAAATGTATTTTATTATTTCACACTTTTATTATATTATTTTCATACAAGTAGCTGCAAGCTTATGTATGAAAGTATAAGTATAGTGCCTATAGAGACCTAGGCCCTAAAACAGGGTTTAACAGCCTGGGGAGATGCCATCCCCAGCGGGTGTGTTGTGGCATTTCAGAGAGTGGGACGAAAGCTGATTATAAGAACAAAGAAGCCTTCGACTTTTTAGTTGTGATAAGATTGTCATTTTGTAAATTTAATTTCTTTATGTGGACCTAAACTTACTTCAAACCTCATGTAACAGGCCACAAGTTTATATTCTAGCCCTGCCTTATTAATAGGTAAATAAACCAACAAGTTAAAAAAACTGCTAAAAATAAGGCGACCATTTTTCATAATCAAAACCAGGATATTTTTAATGTTTAAATCATTTAATGTCATAGGTGTCCAAAATATAACATAATTTGTTATTACACAGCGAGCTCTTCTTTATTAAGTGAGGATTACTTTTGAAAAACAAATTGTGATGCCAATTTGGATTGATTGTATTTCTTTTAGTTATTATTCCTGGATATCAAATGTACTCTATCTTTTGATTTTCTTTTTTTTAATTTTGTAGTATAAAACTGTACTTGTTTGAGCTCACAATAAACCAAGACAAAGTAAAAAAAAAAAAACAACAACAAAGAACAGTAATTTCATGGTAAATAAATGCATCTTCTCTCGTTATCAGAAAGTGACTCAAAGAAAAATGTTATGATATATGGCATTATATTCACACATGTGTTTATTTGTTAAGGAAAGGAAATAGTGTTATAAAAACCTGAATAAATGTTGTATTTCATTTAACCAGAAAATGAGCACAAGACTTCTAAGAATGAGTTCAAAATTAAAGGTGTTTTTTTTAAGTAAGGGATTATTTAAAAATTTTATGCATTGTAAAAATAATCTATAATTAACTATTTTTAACTATAATTCAAAAGATTAAACTCCTAACTATTAACTGGTCATTTAAAGTGTATATATTTTACTGATTAAAAATACTTGACTTAATTCAAAGATACAGAGTAAAATAGTTGATGACAGAGATCAACTAAAGCTTTAATTAGAGTAAAGGCGATTAAAACCATCGAGGATTACAAAATTAAACAAATCTTATTAAAGCTATCATTTTCAAATGAAAAAGGTAATTTATCCTTCAATACATTTATGTCAACTTTTAGGCATTGTTGCTTCCACCATATGTCCAAAGTGGCAACATTTATACTTTTTTCAAAGATTGCACATTTTAACTTTAAATAAAGTTTTTATAACATCCTTATCAATGTTAGCCAAAGTGAAGGTCATATTGTTACTTTTTTGGAGAAAAACAGAGAAAATATGCAAAAAAATATCATTGTAATTAAAAATCTAAAACTTGTAGTTTTTGGAATTTAAACAAATTGACAGTATAAATAGCACCAATTTTATTTATAAAGCAGAGGAGAAATATACCAGGAACAAGTAGGTTTCATAAATATGACTTATATTTACATCACTTAAAAAGATTTCTAAATAAAAAACACTAGCAACAACAAAAATTTAGTGAAAGGGTGAACAGGTTTTCGGTATTTAGAAAAAAAGATCTGGTTCATGCCAATAAAATAACAAAATAAATGTAAATAGAAGTCTAAAGTATTGAAAGTAAAAAAAGTATTAAGTAAAATTAAATCAAATTATTATCACAATAAAAATGTAAGTTAATAATGTAAGTTTAGAGCAATTTGTAAATTATTAATTTTAATTCTTTATATTAAAAATGAGTACAAAATATTTTAATTTCAGAGATTGGATTAATAAGTAATGTCTTCAATTAATTCTTAAGAAATATATTATTTATGGTGTTTAAATTTAAAGGCTTCCATAAAGATAAACAGTAAAAAAGTAACCACAAAAATCATTTTAGTAAAATTTCTGATTTACAAGGCCAAGTATAATATGTTTATGAACCTTAGTTCAGATTAAATTTAAGCAAGGAAGTGATACACAAGGACAATTATAATATGTATAATATGTATAATATAATATTATATAATACATGCATACAAGTATAATATCTGAACTTCAGTTCAGATTAAATTTAAGCAAGAAACCAGGGCGCAGCTCAGGACCAAGCAAGTTAACAATTTATAAGGTTTATTATTATTCAAAATTGTAACATGACGAAAACGCCAACCTTCAAGAGTCAAAACCCTGTACAGACTCCAAAAAAGATGTACAAAATAAAAACCATTTATAAAAATAAAAAACACTTTACAAAACAATAAAATGCTGAAATAGTGGAAAGTTAATTATTCTGTATACTAGTTTCCTTTTTCTTGCCTTCAAGCAATGTTTTCCCCTTTTCATAACAAGATGGATTGGTAATGAATCTCAACCAAATAAGAGTCTGTTAATTTTATGTGGCATGGATGTCTTATGTACAGCTTGATTAAATAGTTACCAAAATCAAACACTTATTAACTTGTGGTAACTCACCATTAAAAGATTAGTCAGAGCGTATAACAGAAAAGTCAGACTAGCTGAACCTAAGACTTGTAACTTTTTTCAATAACAGTATATGTAAATGTAATAACTTATAAACCTAATGAAAATAAGTCATAGACAATGGATCAGATGGATGTTACATTTTAAAATCCACAGTTATTATTATTATTATTATTATTACATCGGTCTTACATAAAGCTGTACCCCAGCCTAGGGCTGGGCTCACAGAACACGGTGTGAGACTTGGTCAAACAAGTCGGGTGCAGAGCATAGAAAAGGTTGGGAAACCCTGACCCTTATGTATATTTGCACATCATATTTTGAAAAATTAAACCCAAGTGTTCTTTGAATGTCCTCTGACACAACATCACTAACAGTCACTTAAAGATACTGAATTATATTATTAGAAAATATATTTTCTTCAATTAATTTATGTATAAATGTTTAGCTCAAAAAAAGAAGTATAGCCTTTTTAATGTATTTTTTAAAAATCTCAATTGACCTTCATCTGAGAAGAGTAAAAAAAATAATATTCTTTTTAAAATGTGGACTAATACATTGTAAAAAGACAAATCTTTCATATGTTGATAAAACTGATAAGCAAATACAAATAAATGCAATCAATTAAAGCCCCTCAGAACTAAAATTAGAACTCAAAGTTTTACCAATACATTAATTTAAAACTGAGTATTGAAATATTTTGAAATAATTTCATTATTAGTGATACACAATGTGCACAAATTGTAAAATATAATACTAATATGTATTTTAGAAAATGCAACATCAATGTCACTTGCCAAATTTAATAACAAATATTTTTAAAACAGTTGTAAAGGTGAATATACATGAAAAAGAGAATGATGTTTAATAACTAAAACCACTTATTACATCACTCAAATTTTACCCTAACTTCATATCGTTCTAACATATCTTTAAAAAAAGTATGGTCAATTTATTGAGTAAACCTTTATCTTAAAAACTTTTTTTAGAAATGAAACCAAAACCTTTCTTAGAAATAATGCTATAAATATATGCATATGTAACAAAATTTTAAATTATACAAATTATTAGGGACTAGAGCAAATAAATAACTTATATGTAATAGTGTCAAACTGACTAATATCTACATATACTTCAGATGGATGTAGTGTAAATTTCGAGATTTAATCTTAGAGAATTTTTTTTTTTTTTATTATTTAGTATTTTAATAAACAGTGTTAAAAAAAATTGCAGTTTAAATGGGAATAATGAGATAGAAATTTACTTGCAATAAATAGAAATTAATCATTGAAGCAAAATAGTTATTTTATTCATCAATGGAAAATTAATTGACTGTTACAAGACAAACAAAATTGTGATTTTTACTACAATAATTTGTAAGAGAACATTTCCTTTTGTGGTGGTAAACTTCATTTAAAATATGTTTTGATAAAACAACAATGTATATCTTTGGTTCTTCTTGATAACAACAAAATGCAGACTGACTGTTTTATGCTCTTTCATGATGGTACTAGTTTAAGAAGCTTCTGGAACAAACTTGTAGCTTTTCCTAGACAAGAAAATGAAATATCTTTTATTAAATTAACAAAATCCACCAAAAATTCATTCAATACTCACAATGACTTAATATATATATTCTGCAGCATACATTTTTAAAACAGAAATAAAATAAAACAGTAAGATTTAAATATAATTGTTACTATTTAGATCACTACACATTTGTTGGGTGTTCTTTAGACTGAAATTTAAAACAACAAAATTAAATGATGGGGCTGTCAGTGAATTTTTATAGAGTACCTCGCACCTGAGCTGGGCTTTGTTTTTAAATAGGCCTACCAACATTTATTGTCATTTTTTGTTGGCTAAATAAGATCTCTCAAATGGATAGCTGGATGTCTCTTTAGATGAAAAAAACCTCTTTGGTTGGTTCCCGTAGTGATCCCCCCTATAAATAACAAAACCAATAACAACTCACTAATAATTTGGACACAAAATTTTGGCTTATTAGTCCATCGAACACCAATCAAATAGACAGGTATCCCAGCTAAATAGATTAGAAGACCTATGGACATCCAAACTGGCTCATGGTAGACAATTAGCACTAACAAAGCAGAGCACACAACAACTTGAAGTAGGGGAAATAACAATGGTACCTGAAATCATTTTCAATATACACATAATTTTAGGCGACTATTTATAGACTAAAATTTGTATCTTTAGTTAAGAGTTGAACAGCCACCATATAAGAACAATATTGAATGACATTTATAAAATTTGTTTATAAACATATAAGTTATACACCAACAAATAAAATTAACATTTTATCTGCAGTGCTGTCATATAAAATTATTTAACTTAGTCAACAAAAAAATATTGATTTTTTTTAACAATATCCTTATCACTACATCTAAAACATCATGGATTTTTAAATGATCCGTACCTTGTATGGCCGAGATATCTTAGGTTTTGTATATCGAAGATACAGTAAGCCTGTGACAACTTTTAATCCCATAATGAGTGAATAAAGACCCACAAACTGCATCAGCTCTTTAACATCTCCAATGTACATCATGACAAACCCATAAATGGTCTAAATATGGAATGTAAAACTGTAATGAATATTAATTTCTAATACAACGGAGCTAAACATTTACTACCTCAAGCAAAAGAAAATGCTATTGTTGCAAAGTTCTATTAAGACAGTAAATTGTTAACAAGTACAATTTACAAAGTACAGTACATAAATTGTGGTACAGCATATTTTTATCACTTTAATTTAAATATTCAGGCTTGGATACTGAACTTTTTAACAAAACAACCACAATATGTCAAAGTAAATAACCAATTATCTCTAACCAGAGAAATAAGCACAGGGGCACCACAAGGCTGCGTTTCTCTCTCCTGCACTGTATAACTGCTCTATCTCAAAAAACGGTACAATTTCGGCGTAAACAGGCAAGTCGTTAATTTACAGTGCAACAATTGAAAGCCTACTTAATTTCAGTATTACCTGCTGGTGTGGGAATTCAACGTCTGATATTAAACACCGCATAAACCGACTAATCAAGAAAGTTAGGAACATAACACAAACTAAACATCCTTCACTTGAAGAACTATTTGAAGAAAGAAGTTTTTGTAAAACTAAACACATTTTGGATGATACATCCCACCCTCCTCATCACAAATACTCAGGATCGGGCCATTTGGGATGAATTCTTTCCATCAGGGCGAGGACTGAAAGGTATAAAAATTCATTTGTTCCCCAATCTGTTCGAATTGACCGGCGTGCTCCCTCTGAAGTCACACCTCTTCATGAGAACTAATAAAGTCCCCGATTTGGCTAAGAGAACTCACCGAATGGCTGTTTGAGATAATTTATTATAAATGTGTCATCAAATTGTTTTATTTATGTGCTGAAAATGTATAATGCAATCAAAAAACATTTCCATTTATTTGGATCAATAAAAGTGATTCCCCTCCTCTGACAGATAAACGATCTTGCTGGCTGCCGTCCATGGTTTGCCTTGTAATAGTTATGTGTTGGGGTGGGTGAATATACATTTTTTTTTGTGCTGTTTTTTATTTCATAAATGTATTTTATTTTAATGTCATGATTATGTCTTTTTTGATAAAATTTTTATGTACAGCGCGGTGAGCCCAGCCCTAGGCTGGGGTACCGCGCTATATAAGACCCCTTATTATTATTATTATTATTATTATTATTATGGTACAGCATCTAATATTGCAGTTTTTAAAAAGTAATAAATAACTTTTTTTTAAAACAAGAATTAAGGCACAATATTTTACACAGAGCCATACTTCTACATTAAAAAAATATATTTCCAAATTCTGATTTAGTGATACTTACAATAGTCCAGAGGGCAATCATAGGTGTCTTATAAGTTGGGTGCAGTGTGCTCATGATGGAGGGCATATCACCTTTTCTTGCTGCAGCAAACAGCATTCTTAGAGACAATGGTTTCATTTGTTAAAGTTTGACCATATTTTGAATATCAGCGCAGGCATGTTGTGAATTAGCTGGCATTTGCTGATATTATGGTGCTAGACAAGCTTTAAATGTATGGAAAGGAAAATGAAACATTTGTTATCCCTAAACTGCCAACACACTACCCCCCCCCCCCCCCCCCCCCCCCCACACCAAAAAAAAAAAAAAGAAATTAACAGGCCACATATATTTACACACAAAGAAATTATAAAATATACAATTAAATCAATGCAAACATTAACAAATTGTTGATAGCTTACATTCTGTGAATTTCATATTTTTTAAAGTTCATATAAAATTGCTCTATGGTATTTTGATAAAGACTAATTATTCCCTATGATATTACTACAGTCAAAAGTCTTAAACTAAGTTTGTAATATAGAGACCATCCATAAATGATTTCATACTATTTTGAGATTTTATTGACCCATCTTCACAAATTTGTAACAAAATGCATGACAAAATTTATTGATGGCTCATTCAAACAAATACAAAAATCTGCTTTTTATAAATACTATTATTTTGAACCCAGTTTCATAACCAAAATTATCTTAATAATTACAATTCTGACAAATAATTACATTTCAACAGAATGCAGATGGCTGTAAGCTTAAATTTAAAAAGGTGGAAGTGCTATGAGGTTGAAGATAAGTCATTTTTTTTTCAAAATGTGTATCTCCAAGTCACGGTGTATCTCCCTCTAGTTTTTAACAAATCAAGTAGCAGACGTCATGGTTTTAATACTAAATTGTTTTCTTATGTGTTTGTTTCTGAGCTAACAAAAATTACTTTGTGCCACCTATAAGAATAAATGTTTCTAAGATTCTAAGTGTTCATTTAAACATGAAGCAATGGCCTCTTTTAAGAAGTTAGATAATGTATTCATGAAGAATGAGATTATCGTTTTGCGTTTGTATGTTTTATTTTTTATTATTATATATAAAAAGAACTATTTATGCACAAATTTTTTTTTTAAAAATGGGATCTAATTTTTGCCTCCAAAGTTAAGTCATGAATTATACCAGATGCTTTTGAATCTTCAAAGTTTCTATTCTATTGACTCACCGGGAGTGTCCCATAATCCCTGTGTTAAGAGCCCCCACGCAAGCAACTGCAACAAAAATTGACATCACAGGGGCTAACGGAGGCCAAACATGTTCGCAAAATGTCTGGAGATAAGGAAATAAAAAATAATTATAAGGAAGCTTTGGAAAATATCTTAGATTATAGATTAAAACTTAAATCTATAAGACTTAACACTAACATCACATTATGACAACTATAACACATACATTAATTAAGAGCATGCGCTTCTAAACTATCAAAATAGGAATTAATTTAATGCATGGGTCAGAAAACCGGGGTAAATTACTTCAAAAGGGGTAAAAATGAACATCTTCAGATAACATATAAATTTTGTTGCCTGAAATAATTTCTTACCATCTTTAGTTTTTACGCTGATACTTAAAGATTGTGTTTTGTGTTTTGCTCTGTTTGTCCTCACAGCTTGCAATAATAAATGCTATTGGCCCAAACTGTAATATACCAATTGATTTTTCCCAAAAATTGTCCATTCCATCATGCCAATCTAGAAAACTTACAAGTGCTACAGCTTTTGACTGAACCATCTCATGTTTTTCCAGAACAACAAAATAACTGAGGTAAGTCAGAATAAACATGGACACCACAATGGCAAAAGTCAAGTGGATTGCTCTGGGTAGAGTTCTACAAAATAAAAAATAAGAAACTATATAAATTAAACCTCAGCAGATTAATATAAAGCAAGCTAGGGTTGCGGAGTTAATCAAAAAATAAAATACTTCTTTGTCTAGCAGGGCTCCGATTCCTGTTCCATTATGCCATTTGCAGTGAGATTGATTTCACAAATACATTTATTCTGAAAAGATTTTCTATACCAAAAAGGATTTTCAGTGATTACAGCTACCTGATTTAAGAGTTATAATTTCACAACAATTGACTGCAAGGAGAAAAGTTGGTGTTAATCCACTGACCTAGTGTGACCGAAATGGGGCAAAAATATAATGATTGAAATTGTTATGATTAGATTCCACTGTAGCTTAAATTTTTTAAAAATAAAGATTTCTAAGTAAATTAAGAGCATAAGAGCATGCACTTCTAAACTATCATGTTCAAACTAGGAATAAGCCCTCCATTGAATGCATGGGTCAGAAAACGAGGTAAATTACACCAAAAGGGGTAAAAATGAACATCTTCAGGTTAACGAGAACTCAATATACATAAATAAAATTATATTAAAAGCGTTTTCTTTGTTATGGGAAAGTGTGTTTTTTCTGGCAACACTGCATTTGGCCAGAGTAATAGCAAAACCCACCCAGCAATTTGTTAATAGTGGCTCAGCATAACTGCAAGTTTTGTCTTGCATGCATCCTTTTTGCCTGGTCACTTATTGTTTTATCTTAAATTAATAAAATCCTTGAAATTTTTTAGCATAAGATAAAACAATAAGTGACTAGGCAAAAATGATGCATACAGGAAAAAATGTGCAGTTACGCCAAGCCACTATGAACCGCATTATATGATGCTTAAATTAATTTAATTCTCCACATAAAAAAGATTGAATGTATCATTTTGAATTTAAATAGTCTGAGAATTTTCTTCCTTTCAAACTGTAAGTGTAATGTCAGCATAAACAAATATATATTGAGATGATAGCTTAAAAATTTCCCAGACCCATCAACAATGTTTTTAAAAATATTCTAGTAAGAAAACAATTTTAAAAAATACAAAGAAATAACCAAAGTGCAGACCTACTTGGCAGGTTCTTTGACTTCTTCTGTCAGTGTTGTAACAGCCTGCCTGGAAAAAAGATTAAATAAAAATCTTATTCTATAACATAGGCCAGTAGTCGGCATTGGTCAAAAGAACCAAAAATCAGCAATAGGACGATTGAAATTTTTTGAGAGACAAATTTCTTTTCAAGAACCTGTCAAGAACCATGTTTATCGTAGTCAAAACCCATTTTTGGCTGACTGGCCGAGCCCCACTCAAGTCCTTAAGAGTCGCATGTGGCTCGTGAGCCGTAATTTGCCAACCACTGACATAGGCTAATAACAAAAACAAATATCTAAATTTCTTGGTTTATAGACTTTTCCAGTGGCTGTTTGGGAAAAATGGCATTGAATAGACGGCATCAGCTCCAGTTTCTTCAAAATGTTGAATTGATAAATTTTTAGTTTGCTCTTTCAAATCTCTATTTTATAAGACAGGGATGTGGGAGAAAATTTTCTTTTTTGTTTTGGCAAATGTATGTTTTTAAATTACCCACATTTTATGTTTTTATACTGACCTTGGTTTTACAATTATTCATCTACTTTCTTTTCTGTAATGAACATTGAAAATGCAAAGCTCAAATCACAAAATCATTCTAGTTCTGTTTATTACTCAATTATAAACAATCATTTTTCCCATGCACAATCATCGCTTGGAACCAACTGGACAATACCACCATAAACTCGAAGTCAATAGGGAGCTTCAATACAGCTTAGCATCTGCTAGGAGCTGTTAAAATACCAGCACAACATCCCCAACCGTTGCACATATGCCGGTACATGGATTCAACAACGTACCTTACCAGAACCAGAATATGACAACAGATATTTAACAAAATGTTTCCTCACCAGCCACCATTAGAGAAGATTACAAAAGTCAAAGCCATTGAGATGCGACCAGGATCTCCATGGATTCCCTCAGTTGGCTTGTCGAAATTCTCAGTTGATTCTGAAATTTGTTATTAAATAAATCCATGCTTAAAATATTAGCAATAAAATGACCTTACTAAGTTTTCATTGCTTAGTTTTAAAATTACCAGACATAACTAATAGACTAATTAAAATGTATAATCTAAGACTATTTGATTAGTTTTTTTTTAAATATTGAGATATCTGAAATTTAATTTTTTGTGATAACAGCCATCTGATTTTAAGATCATATAATTGTTATAGTCATATAATAAATGCACCTTTAAAAAATATCAAACTCCCCACATGCTCTAGTGCTGGGGAGATAGTGGACACAGGAGTCAGCAATCTTTTTTTTTTATTTTAGAGAGAAGTAATTTTTATAAATTAACCTTTATCTGCTAAGGAAATATTTTGGGAGTGGCATGTCATAAATTATTTTAAAATGCACCACACCTATTCCTTCACAGAGCCAACCACTACATTAGCGTAAGTACAAACTGATGAGTTATGCTAATTCATTTAAGGATTTGAATTTTTATTATTTGTACTAACTGCACATACAAATGAAAAGATACTATGAGTAAGTTGCCAATGAGTAAGGAGGAGAAAGGTGAAACCATTACATAAATAATGTGATTCAATTCTTTCAATAAGTTAATTAGAGTCAGTGCAAAGACCATGGCACTTAGCATCATAAAAATTAATGGTTTCAACAAAATTACCTAACCTCTGAACAATACTTAAATTCTTAACATTTTTATAAATAACATTAGATTTATACCTGTTGCTAAGATGTAAATTCCTCCAGATACAATGATACCAATGGCCAACATTTTGCAAGCAGTAAGAAAATTTTGTACTTGGACTATAAGCTTCAGGCTGTAGCAGTTCAAGAAAGCAAGCCCAACTGAAGTAATGAGGTAAAGGTGTTTAGACTGTTCAGAGGTTATTATAATTACTAGACCATAATTAATGGTACCAACTTCTGCTCTAAGGCTTTAATCAAATGATGGAGGCTTACATACAGCTTAAGTCTTTCTGAATCAATTCACACCTTTGAGCCTGTTTTTTACAATATGTTCACAATCACATTCTTTTTACAAGGCAGCTTACTGTGTACCAATATAACCTGCTGTTCAAACTATTCAATTTTATCTGCTGTTCAACCCTTCTTTTTTTCTTATACCTACAATGGTTTTAAACTTGAGTTCAAAATTAATTTTTTTCCAGACATTATGGTGTGTTTAAAATAAATAACAAATATACAAAGAATGTAAACTGACTTACGAAGAATACATCCTCCCAATATAGAGACAACAGAATTAAAATAATTGCTCTGGCAGTCATAATCTGTCATAATAGCTTTCAATAGATACAAAGATGCTGTTTTAGCTGCGAAAGCATTAAAAGGTCCTGAAATAAGAATAATGTAGCCCCAGGCCACAAGAAAGCCATACTGGTTACCAAAAATTAAGGTTATATAAAGATAGGGTCCACCAGCACTCTGAAAAATAGTTCCAAGCTCAGTAAAACACAGAGATAGCGTATAGACTAGAAAACTACCAATAATCCAGAATACAAGTGTAGAGATTATAGATCCAGACATGTTCAAGACTAGACCAGGAGTAATGAACACAGCCACATGACCTGTAATTGATACTAAAAGGGCAACAACATTGAGTAAAGAGAGGCTCCTTCTTAAAGTGGGAGTTTCTGTAAGGCCTTCTAACTCATAGCCAACAGTTTCAGTATTTTCTTTTTTCTTCTCTGATAATTTAGGTGCACCATCTTTTTTCTTATCATCAGGATCCGCTGAGATGCCTTGATCAGTCATTAAGTGCTAAATGAGAGACAAATGGAGAACAAATTTAAAAATCAGTAAATATAAAATGCATAATCTGAAAGTAAATTTGAGAAATGGGGATGAGGGGAGTGGGGGGAGGAGATTCAGGTCATGACCCGAAGAAATATTTTACACATCACTGTCAAGGTGTTTCACAAAGGGCATCTTAAAGGCAGCCACACACACATAAGATACTAGTGATAAATGTGCTACACTGCACCAGGCCTATGTTATGTTTAAACTAGGATTGTACTGCCAATTACCATTTAATATTCTTCCCTTAACTAGGGGGTGTAAGCACCTGGTAATCAGAAATGGTGGTGTAATTTTATTTAAAATTATAGGTCTGATGAAAATTATTCCAAATTAATTTTTTTAAATATGCTATATACACAACTTAGTCTTAATGTACATATTAATAAATTAAATCCTTTTTAGAACAACAAAGCTTAGGCTACAACCATGGTCAGGGCCATCTTAGCAGCATTGGGGGCCTGGGGCAAAGTAATGCACTAAGTCCCCCTATTCCTCTCTAACCTATTCAAGTAATGTTAGGAAAAGCATATGAGTCACATGTTGGGCCATATGTTATGACCTGTGTTTCTTTCAGACATATTTCTAAGGGGGAGGGGGCGCTTTCCATACATTTGGGAAGGGGTAAAATGGCATCTATCAGTGCTAAAGGCTCCCAAATGACATTAGAGATCATTTTTTCTAAATTCAAAATACAGGGGTGCATTTTGGCCCATACCTGAATTTGGTTTTGCGTCATTCTGCACTTAATCGGTATGCAACAGCATAAATGCTTGTAGAAATTTAGGTCCCCTTGACCAGGTTTGTTTATACAAATCCTTTAATTTTTAGTTGTTCCTAATGAATTTTTTTTTTTTTTATAAATAATAATTCACAAACTACATATTTTTTTACTACTTCATTCATTTGTTAAATAATATTTCAGTTACAAAATGCTTTTTGTCACAAAAAAAGAATAAAAATAACTTCTAACATCAGAACAAAAAAGAAACAAAACAAGATCAATAATTATTTTTTGAATTCATTAAAATTTAAATGATTCCAAAATTTACATATTTAAAAATAAGATAATACTGTTTAGGGATATTTTAAATTTTTTTTAAAAAATAAACTTTATTAAATTTGCATCATTAATTTACAAAATGGATCATATACGGATCATATACAGGGTGGCCCAGAAAAAGTGAGAACATTTTGTAGCAAAAGGTTACATCATTGAATTAAGATAATGTTTTGTCATTTAAACTTGTATGAAAATTGTTATGCTATTCAGAAAGCATGTTCAGTCTGTCTTCCCCCCCCCCTCAAAACACACACTTTCCATGCTTCTCAACAACTATTTGTATGCATTGGCGCCTTGTTTATGCTTCTGACAATAAAGAGATGTTATCACATTTTTTGGGCTACCGGTACCTTGTAGTCTTGTAGTTATTTGGGAAGTTTAAGCAGCATAAATTTGCCAAATTCGATATAAATTACAAATTAATGAAAACATGACGCCTATTTTAAAACTCTCGATTAATTTACACCCTCCTCCCAACTGTCAACTGCCCAGTGAGCGCCCATGCTTAAGTAAGATGACACTGGCAATGGTCTCATATTATTTATGATTATGAAAAAAAAATGTATGTTTATGTCAAATGTCTCTCTCTTCCTGCCCCCAACCTTTTTTTTTTTACTACTCCACACATTCTAATGATGTGTGACATTGTGTGCAGTCTTTTGACCGCTATATGACTGTACACTAGGCCAGGGGTGGCCACCAGACCTCTAATAACTGAGAACCATTTTTAAAATTAAAAAAAATTGTTGAGAACCACATTGAAGCACTAATGGGTCACGAACCCACTCGCAATGAAAAATTCCTTTTGTGATTTATTTTTAAAAATTACTTTTTATTTGAATTTAATGATTTAAACATTTCAATTGTTTCAACCCTCACCGTATGTTGAAGCAATATATGCGTTACAGTTACACAATTGAATAAATATATGCGTTACAGTTACACAATTAAAAAATATTTAAATATGTAAAATTTATGAATAGAAATAAACTGTTCGCGAGCCGCAATGTGAACACAGAAGAGCGGCATGCGGCTCGCGAGCCGCGGTTTGGCCACCGTTGCACTAGACTATACTCTTCAACCCTTACTTAAATCAATTTACTCAATTTTCTACCCACTTTAACTTGATGATAAGTTTATAATTTCTTATTACATAGGCATAGGCATATCATAAGGCTTATGATGAGCCATATGAATATAAATATGATGGCTATCCTACTATCCTGTTATTACTGCTTATAGTTATAGTGAATATAATAATATAGTAGTTAACTAAGTTATTAATGTAATATATTTAATTTAGTAGGCCCTGCCTATTAGTTTGAGTCTATAGTCATAGTCAATTTTAAAATTACAGCTCAGAAAGAGAAAAGCATTATAACTTGTTACAAAGCCATTATAAATGAGAAATAATTAATATTCATTAAAAAACATTCTACTATATTTAACAGTACTCATGCTCGGCCGGAATTTATACTTAAGATAGTCAAGCTCTTATTTGAACATCAGTGCGTACGCGCTTTCACTTTTGCGTATCAATTTTATTTTTATATCCCTGAACAACCTCGAATCTCGCTTTGATCTCGGTAAACAGGAAATTAGTTCAGGTCCATTTTAGTTCAGAAGAAACATTGAATGGACATTGCCGGAAAATAAGAGTTACCAATAAAGTTAAAGTTGCAAAATATATTAGTGTGGCATCAAATAAATAAGTACCAGCCTTATCGTTTTCAAGAAGTGAAGGGAAGCCTATACTATGTAAATAAATGAGTCACTTAAATTGCCAGTCCCTTTCAAGATAATGAATAATGTTTTAAAACTCAAAGACAATGGACATGGTTCTGTCTTGGTCGGTCTAAATCACTAAAAGTTAAAGTCATTGTGGAATAAATATTAAATAAGTATGCCTGTTTATTGTTTATTAAGTATAATAATTAATAATGGGGGAAAAGATAAATCGGATCGGGTAGGACTATCCTAGTATCAGTATCAATTTTCATGACTTCTATAAGTCAAAATATGATCAATAGTCTATGATTAGTTTGCTTCTATTACTTTATTGTAGAAGAGGCTAATAATAAATCAAAAATATAATCCTCATTAATCATTACTTACATAAAATTTTTTAAAAAATTAATATAAAATTTAGTATAATGTAGTATATGAAATATAGGGCTAATGCCCTATGCCTATACTACTTGAAGTTTGAGAAATATACTTAATAGTAGTGTTTCTTTCTTATGACTTATGATAATAGTTTGACTAAATTAATAAATAATTTAGTAAATAACATTTAAATTGTATACTTAATTTTAATCATGCTCCACAGTGCACAGTTGTTGTTTTTTATTATTAAAAAAGAAGTTGACATTTGATTATTTGATTTGAAGACAGGCTTCAAAAACTTTGTGGAATAAAGTAACAGGATCATGAGCTTACTCTCTAGCCACTGGAAATCAATACAAAAAATCAGTACCATTTTCGGCATAAAGATCTACACACAGCAGATATTTATTTCAGGTTTTATGAATATTAGCCTCAAGTCTGATAATAATTATACTATAAACATAAGATCAGTTGCACCGACTCGTTGTGAAAACTGTACTTCCGCAACCCATATAAGAAACATGACTGACACTGTTGCCAAACCACTGTATGAAGATCTAAATACAGATGAGACGGGCAATGTGATACAGGATGAAGATCCATCAAATAATTATCAACCTTTTAGTAAAGAAGAAACTGTTAAGCCACTTTCAAAGAAAGCTTTAAAACGAGTAAGTCATTTCTTAGAAATTCCATGTTAATTTTTCATTGTTCATATTAATCATATTAAATGTGTGTTCAAGTTCAGGTAAAAGAAGTTTCTTTCAACAATCTTCAACAATGTTTATTTATTCATGTTTACTTTATAATTTGTTAAACAGAAGTCAAAATGTTTCATTTACAAAACTTATCCTTCCTTTGTTTAAAATCCATTTTAAAAGGCATTTAGTGATAGTAAAAAAAAAAAAGGTATATTTGTCATTAGATTGCAAGGGCACAAAAGCATAAAGAGTTAAAGAGAAAAAGGCGAGAGGATCTCAGATTAAATCAAAAAGATGATCCTGGTTACAGTCCTGAAGACCTGTTGCAATCTTCATATTACTTTGAGAATGGTAGGTACCGTAGCTCTTGGTAAGAATCACTATGTACAAAATTTGTGAAGAGGACTACAATAAAATGTTGTTACAGGTACTAAAATATCTTTTACTGCGCAAATCACTCTTTTGTCCTATTATTCTGTTTTATTTTCACAGGCCTTCGAAAAGTTTACCCCTACACTTATATCTTTGCTACACATGCTAAAGGTCGTTGGGTTGGCCGCACCATTCACAACGTTTTGGCATCAGAGTTTGGTTTTGATCAGCCTGGAGATTTGGTTAGTGGTTCCAATGTGATATATTGTTTCATTTTTTTAAATAGATGCTTTTTAATTTATGAATATTAAAAGAATATAAATTTATTTATTTTGGTAGAGTTTCAATGCATCAGTAAAATTCTTTACCTCTGAGTGATATATCAAGTCAAATATTGTGAAATGGCTATCCAATTTTTTAAATATATACAATCTTCACGTAGCTGCAATATATGTTATTTTTCAATTTATTCAAACTTTTAATTTTTAAGTTACTTAATAATTGAGTGTCCTCTTTGTCAAAATTAGATGAATGGGGATGGATCATTATAAGAATAAAATAATTACTGTTCATTAATTTTCATTAATTCTGAGATAAACATGTCTTTTAAATTTGTTTTTTTATGATTAGGACAAAGCTTTTGATACTGGTATGATCCATGTTAACAACAACCAGGTGGCTTCAAGCTACGTACTTAAAGACTGTGACTACATCTCTCATCGCACACATAGGTTGGTACCAAGACATTTACAAACAAAAGAAATCTCTAAATCTGGTGTGTCTTCTTTTCATTATCATTCCTATCAACATCATTTATCAAGCACATTTCGTCCAGCTACTACAAGCAACCCAATTAGTATTGAATAAAATTTTAACCATAAATGCTGCATGTTGGATTTTGATTGCTTAAAGACCCAATATACTTCTGGTCAGCTATACAAATGATATACATCACCTTTGTTAGTTAGTCCCTCCACTAGTAATGTTTCATTATGATACAAGGGGCAACAGATGCACTAAAGCACGCATCCAATGCTACACATGACTTATCATGTAGATTTTCAGCTTTGAAAGTGTGAATAAATACATAATTATCTGTCTAATGGTAAAATAATTTTTTTTTTTTTTTTTTACTAATTTGCATTTTGAAATACTTCAGGCATGAAAACCCAGTGACAGCTGGTCCAATCGAGATTATAGAGAACAATGATGATGTGCTAGTTATCAACAAACCAGCCTCCATTCCTTGCCACCCGTGTGGGCGGTACAGATTCAACTCTCTCGTCTTCATCATTGGCAAAGAAATGGGAATCACAAATCTCAGAAGTGAATATATACCTGTTTAATTAATAAACTTTGACATTAATCTTTTTTACATCCATTTATTTATTTCATTTTGTTTCCCTACGAATAATCAGATTACTTTATTTTATATTTCTTGTAAGAGGGAGTGAAAAGAGTGTTTGTAAGAATGAGTGAAAAAAGTGTTTGTAAGAGGGAGTGAAAAGAGTGTTTGTAAGAGGGAATTAAAAGATTGTTTCTAAGAGGGAGTGAAAAGAATGTTTGTAAGAAAGAGTGAAAAGAGTGTTTTTAAGAGGGAGTGAAAAGAGTGTTTGTAAGAAGGAGTGAAAAGAATGTTTTTAAGAGGGAGTGAAAAGAGTGTTTGTAAGAAGGAGTGAAAAGAGTGTTTGTAAGAGGGAGTGAAAAGAGTGTTTGTAAGAGGGAGTGAAAAGAGTGTTTGTAAGAGGGAGGGAAAAGAGTGTTTGTAAGAGGGAGTGAAAAGAGTGTTTTTAAGATGGAGTGAAAAGAGTGTTTGTAAGAGGGAGTGAAAAGAGTGTTTTTAAGAGGGAGTGAAACGGGTGTTTGTAAGAAGGAGTGAAAAGGGTGTTAGTAAGAGGGAGTGAAAAGAGTGTTAATGCCACCATTATGGTTTCATTGGTTTTATTTGCTTTAATTTTTATGTCATCGATAATAACCGTTGAAGGCAGGGCTCCTAGGCAGCCGTTTCATCCCAGTCACTAGCTAGTATTTGTGAGGCTGTGTTTATGTAGGGGCAAGGAGTGCCCAGTACAACTTAGCGATAAAGATTGTTAAGATATGAGTGGTCGGTAGCTATGAATCCTTTTGCAAGGTATCAGTGAAGATTCATCATATTCACACCCAATCAAAATGTAGGAACATATTTTTTCCCAGGGGTGGCGGGGGACGACATAGTGGTCTGCATTAGGGAATCCACTCCTTACTTTGTAAGGTCAATTCTTGGGAGCTACCCCTTGGGCATTCCTTTGGTGGTCGGATGGTTCACGGCTAGGTAGAAACATCCCGGGGGACTACCTCGCGGTACCCTTCCTCTGTAAAAGTTGAGAGGGTCCCGTGAGATAGGGTTCCTGAGAGACCTCAAAGAGCTTTGTCTCAGGTCATTTGGCACTCCAAATGTAACATTTTCGAAAAAATTTCTTTCATTTAATTTATTACATATTGTTTATTGCAGTGGTTCTAATTTAAAATTTGAAAAGTTTTAATGTGCTCTTTATTATTTTTTATTTGTGTTTTGAAACAAATATATCACCTAAGGGTCTAAGCTAACATAATATTAGAACAGTTTGGAAAAGATATATCAGCTAAGGGTCTAAGCTAACATATTTTTAGAACAATGTCTTGAACTGTAACAATAAATAACCATAGACAATTCATGAAATGGAAATATTATTTTGAATGTTTCAAACATCTCATCATCACCAACCCAGGATATTATCCTTTATAACTTGCACTTAAATATCCATCTTGTAAACTAAACTGTACTTTTGTATCCAAATTGTAAACTACAATTATATTTTTACCATCCCCCTTCTATATAAAACAGATATCTATCGGCTGGACCGGCTAACTTCTGGTGTACTCATCTTAGGGAAAACTGCAGAGATGACAAGGGTTTTAATGGACCAGGTGGTCAAGAGAGAAGTTCAGAAAGAATATGTGTGCCGAGTGATGGGCAGGTTCCCAGAGTGAGTTGCAATAAATGTTTTTTTTTAAAGATGTAGCCTCTTTTTTTTTTCCATTTGATTGAATTTTAATTGATTCATTCAAGATTGGAGTTAATGTTTTTAAAATATTGTTTTGGTAGATGGGGCTCTCAATTAGGAAATGCTGTTGTCACCTAATTCAACCACTTAAAAAAGAGGGAAAGTTAGACTAAGGCATTCATGAGCCTCTATTATGTTTACAGTGGTACAATCAAAGTGGACCAGCCTCTCCAACCACTGTCCAATAAACTGAGACTACAGGTCATCTCTCCGAATGGTAAAGCCAGCCAGACAACCTTCACAAGGCTCAGCTACAATGGGAGATCCAGCGTTGTCAGATGTAAGTACCTACACATGATCTATGACATGGTGGAGTTAGTGTCGATAGTTGTCTGACTCTTATTGGACTCTTAAATATACTGAAGGAATTATAGAAGTATTTTCCAGCCAGTGGTGTTAACTGGCAAGAGAAGATAACTTGTACATCTGGCCAAGGAAGTTGGGTAAATAATTTGCAAAAGCAGGTTATTTGGGGCAAAATATTTTTAATTTTTTTTATTAGTGTTGTTTTATTATCAAAGAAATCTTAGTAATGATATTCTTATTAGTTGCAAACAAAAAACTATTTGACCCAATAAGGATCAAACTCTACAAAAACTGGGTTGAATTTTAAAACACGTGCATTTTAAAATTGGTCACGCTGAGATCTGCCACTCTATCAAAGAGTACATTAGACTAAGCTGTTAAACAAATTTCATTTGATTATAATTAGCAAAATTTTAGCATGAGAAATTATATGAATAAACAAGCAAACTCTGTTTAATAGTTTAATACAAGATTCTAACAAAGGAGATTGAGTTATGAGTTAATATCCAATATCCATTATCTCGTTCTAGCAAAAATCTGGTAAAACGGCCTTCACCCTTTACCCTGCTTTCTATTTCATCAACTGTTCCAGGTGTTTTTAAATCATATGTTGTTGTTTTTTTTTTGTAAGGTTTGCCACATACTGGCCGGACACATCAGATTCGTGTACATCTTCAGTTTTTGGGCCATCCAATCATCAATGACGTTTTCTACAATTGTGAGGCCTGGGGACCAAATAAAGGAAAGAATGGTGTCTATGAAATTTCTTTCGATGAAGTAAGTGTCTAATTGATTGTTTTTAAATAGTACACAGTAGAAGGCTAATCTTTAGCCTCTTCTTTCATCACTTGATTTTACTAGCGATATTACATTTTTATTTAAAAATAAGTCTTAGTATTTCTTTAACATTATCTTCTCCTAAACCTTCTAAATATTTATCCATTATAAAATATCAAGTAGGCCACAGTAGAACTGCAGAGGTGGCATTTAAAATCTTAATTAGATCTTAACTTGATACAGCAGTAGTTGTTTTTTTTATTTAACAGTTGTTTAGTCTTTCTGTTAATCATCACTTCCTTCCCCTCTGACCTCTCTACGCTTTTCTTTCCCATTTCCTCGTCTGGATTCCAAGCTGTTATACATCTTTTCCACATCATCTAATCCAAAAATCATGTTCATATCCAGGCATAGGTTCATTTTCATTAGTTAGTATCAGTCCAGGTTTTTTTTGCTGCTTGTAATACTTGTATGTTATAACATTTCTTTCTTTACATGGCTGGGTTGTTAGCCCTGTGCACAACCATTCTGCTCTCTAGGTAATTGCCTTTTTTTTTTTTTTGGATAAGGGTCCCTAGTCTTTGTGGATCCTTCCACTTCCTACACTACAAAGCAGTAGATTCTGATTTTGATCCGCCCTGGGTATTTTATTTCCCAAGTGCATGCCGTATCCTCCACCAGATGCTTGATCAGTAACTGTGTATAAGTATTTCTGTTAATGGTACTGGGGATTAGTATTTAAAAAAAATGTTTTTAGCAGATTTGCAGAGGCTAAAATGAGTGAGCTTTTTTTAAAGCGTTGATTGTAGCCATGTACATGTACATAGGGAAATATATAGTGATTTCTTATGAAAAATGAAATTTAATTTTAATTTTTTTTCGCCAGGTGTGTGAGAGAATCATGCAAGAACACAGCGTCACTCTATGGGATGGAGGAGAAAATCCACTTTACGGAGAGAGACTACGACAAATGGAGTCAAAGGAGCTAAAATTTCCCAACACATCTAGAGTACCCGACTGTTCACATACACACAACATAGATGAAACAGAGGAGGAACCACAGAGGAAATTGAGAAAGGTGGAGGCTGAGGGTGCAACTATTCATAAAGCTCAGGTGGAAATGTTGACCTCCGCTGTCTCTAAATCTGGATCTCAAGAAGGAGTGACCCCAATATGTGATCCGGTAAAACCTGACCAAGCAGAATCTGGGTCAAACAGTCAAAGTGCCAACATCACGAAACATGTCGGGACACATCGAGACAGTGAAGTCAATACGGGTCGGCCTGGTTTTGAAATGTCCAAATGGTCAGTCGATGCATCCTGTGACCTGTGTAAGAAGAAACCAATTGACCCCCAGGAAAAGAATCTTGTTATGTTTCTCCATGCTCTCAAGTACAAGGTCAGTGATACAATACTCAGATGATCTGACTCTCTATGACTCAGATGATCTGACTCTTTATGATTCAGATGATCTGACTCTTTATGACTCAGATGATCTGACTCTTTATGACTCAGATGATCTGACTCTTTATGACTCAGATGATCTGACTTTTTATGACTCAGATGATCTGACTCTTTAGGACTCAATGATCTGACTCTTTATGACTCAGATGATCTGACTCTTTATGACTCAGATGACCTGACTCTTTATGACTCAGACGATCTGACTCTTTATGACTCAGATGATCTGACTCTTTATGACTCAGCGGATCTGACTCTTTATGACTCAGATGATCTGACTCTTTATGACTCAGATGATCTGACTCTTTATGACTCAGATGATCTGACTCTTTATGACTCAGATGATCTGACTCTTTATGACTCAGATGATCTGACTCTTTATGACTCAGATGATCTGACTCTGTATGACTCAGATGATCTGACTCTTTATGAAGAAAAAAAACAAAGTACAGGCTATTTCTCTACACAAGTGTTAGTGAATTATTTTTTTTTATATTTGTGAAGGGGACAAATATACTTTACCCATTGATAGTTCAATATTTAGTTTTCTAACGGGATTTTGGGGGAAGGGGGTTGTTAAAATGTGTTTTATTTTTATTAAATCCAGTGAAGATGCTATTCTTGTTGCTTCTACTGGTGGCCAGCATATCATAAGATTTTACCTTAGGGCACATAAAGCGATTATTGATGTAACTATGAACATTTAGTACCTGACATACAACAAAAACTATAACTATAAGACAGCCGTATAGAATTCATATTTAATGATGAGTTCTAAACTGCAACCATAAAAGAATTAAATTAAAACTTCATCTGTTTTGGAAAAATTACTTGTACATGGACTGTTAAATTGAGTATATATCTAATTTAAACTTTAAAAAAAAAAAATACATTTTTGGATTTTTTCCACCAAAAATAAAAATAATCAGAAAGGATAATTTATTTAAATCTCAAAATGTACAATTACCATTTTAAATTTACAGTTAAAATTTAATTGCCACGCATTTCAATGATTTTTTGTCTGTCTTCAGGGCCCAGGCTGGGCGTACGAGACACGTTTACCCGACTGGGCAAAAGAAGATTGGAATAGAGAAGATGATTACATAATAGGAACAAACTCTCCATTGACTTGAGATCTCATTGATTAGCATTTATCTCGTATTGTGTAATGTCAATGTGATGCAACAGTGTAAAGTTGTTTGTGATATGTCGTAAGATTTTACATTAAAAATGAACTGCTAAATGACACTGATGAGTATTAGTTCAATTTTCACCTGCTTTTTATTAACTCTTTTAATTAATTTTATTTCTTTAACCCTTTAATTACCAAAAACATTTAAAATTTTGTTTTAATTGTAATAAGATTCACATTCAATGTTGTATATCAAACTGAAACAATTACCCAAAAAAAAACAACATAGGAGACACATGTCTCTTCATTTGTGATATAAATTTACCACAGGGATATTCAAGGTAACTTTCAATGATATTCAAGTAAAATATTTGGGTATTTAGAGGTAAACCTCATTCAGGTGCTTAATTCTGCTGTTTGCAGAATACTACATGTAAAAAAAAAAAAATAATTGATACTCTTTGGGGAGGGGGGGAGTGTGTGGGTGGGAGGGAGTGTGTGGGTGGGGGACACCTTCTTAAAGTTTTAAGTTAGTTTTTTTGATTGAGAAGAGAAAACAATGTGACATGCAAGAAATGACTTATAAATGCATATGAAGCCTTAGCTTATGTCGCAATTCAGCATTTCCCTATTTGAAAAAATGTGCAAACTGAAACTTAGGATACATACAAAAAGTGTTTTTATGTGTGGAGGTTTTTTTTCAAATTGCATGAAAGACCAATCAGAAATATTTTTAAAAATTACATCAAATATTTAGAAATGAATCAACTAAGTCCTTAATTAAAAAGTGCTAATTAGATCAATTGGATAAAGCTGCTAATTATAGCAATGTTCTCTTGAATTATATTTCCCTTCAATTAAATCAGATTTAGACCTTTAATAAGATAATACAAATACAAATATAATACGATTGTTACAAATGATTTTTTTTTTAATTTTTGGATCATTCTCTTAAATTTAATAAGCAATATAAAAAGTGTGAAGTAACATATTGGACATTAAAAGCTCAAATGGTAAATAATAAATTGTGAGGAAAAGTTTTAAATGGAAAAGAAAATTTCAGAGATGTACCAATATCAACATAGCTCCCATAAAAGTTCAACACAATCATTAATCATCAAAAATGTATCTGCATAGTCTCTGGTGACTTTAATCATTATCATTTGACCTATTCCAAATAGCTCACTCCCTCTCTACATGCCCCAACTGATGAGACCTATTTGTATGTATGTTGACCAGTGTCCGACGATTCTCTGAAGACCTCACTTGCACACAATAATTAGTGGAACTCTCTTACAAGGCATTAAAGTACATTTACCTCTATCCACTATCAAATAGACAATAGCAAATATTTTATTCAGGATTCTCTTCTTAATTCACTGGAGTCTGGTTCTCATTTACTTGATGTAAAAAATAATGATCAAGTACACTTGTGAGACACAACATTCCAAAAAATATGAAACAAAGAACAACATATTATGTTACAAGCAACTGCACTACACTAGTTCAACCACACACTGAGTTTGAGCACACTCCTTTTTCTCTGAGTCTGATGTTTTCTTATTTTCTCTCTCATGCACACTTAAAACATCTCTGTTTTACACCAAAAGTTTGTTGCGTATCCCTCCACTCTTTAATCCAATGGGTGCAGACGCCTAACTGACTACAACTCAAAATTTACATTTACAGCAACACAAAGTCTGCATTAAAAAAAATTTACCTTTTAAATAAGACTTTCTCTCTAACCCTAAGACAAATTTAAATGCACTAAAAAGTAAAATAATAATTTTCTTGAAATTCATTCAGAAAAAATAAAGTATGTGCAGATGGACAATAAGGTACTCTATGAAGCCAAAGAATTCCAATTAAAAATAGGAAAAACATTTTTTCTCTCTTCTAATTTTTAAAATATTTCTTAGCACAGACTTTTTTTGTGTAATGAATTTTAAGAAAATTATTTTCTACTGTTTAGTCTATTTAAATTTTAAACTTGTTTTCAAAAGAAAGTCTTTTTTATAAAGTTTGTTTTAGCTTTTTTTATTTTCTACTTTTTAGAATGAAAATTTTAATTTTTAATTGATCACAATCTAATTGCCAAAATGCCCTTCCCCCATCCCATGCCCAAATCCTACAGTTATGATTAATGTTTATTGTAACTAATGGGGTAGGATTGCTTTTTTTTAAAATCACCTTTTCCCCATCACCCCCCTCCCCCCCCAACCTTACTAAAATTTGACCCCCCCCCCCCCCCCCCCCCAAATATAACATCACAAATCTCTGCCCCCACCCCTCCATAAAAATTCCCTGATTTCCTTCACAAACTCTTAATAAATTCACCTCCCATGACATGGACATCAAATGAAACCTTTGTCAGAAAGATTTCACTAGAAAAGTGGTTCTTAAGCAGGGGTAAAAGTACCTCCCCAGCCCGGAGGTGCCGGAGAGGTGCAGCTAGTTGTTGCTGCTTTTTTAAAAATAAAAATCAGTTTCTATGCATTTTGATTTAGCAGCAATACATTGTATTCCTGTGGATTTTGTTTGCGCAATACTTGTATTGGTAATTTTGTTCCTTGATCATAAAAATTTATTTAAAATTAAAGAAATAAAACTACGACCTACGATAAATAAATTATTTAATTATTTCCGTATTTAAATTTTATTAAAATATAATTTAATAATTTTTTGGTGGAGAGGGGGAATGTTTAAAATGGAGCGGGCGTACAGCATTGCAAACAGGTTAAGAATACCTGCCCTAGAAATTTATTAAGATATCCCCCCCCCCCCCCCCCTCCTCGAGGCAGCATACTGGTGCTGTAACTCTGTGTCATAAACTGAAATGCGACCTTGCAACTCAGCAGGAGAAAGACTGAATTGACCGAGCTTGAGGACCATGTGGGTAAACACAACAAAATATGCTGGACAAACAAACATTATGGAAACGCAAGTAAAAAGAAAGTCTTTAAAAATAAACTGAGGAATAACTGAAGGGGTTAAGACTGCAAAATCAACTGTCCCTTCAACTTCTATAAATTCCTCATTATGAAGACAAGTGTGTTTCCTAAACATCTGCAGGATTGGTATGATAATATTTACTTACAATACAAACTCACAGAACAATATACTAAAACCTTCCCTAGGAGAGTTACAAACATCTCAGTTTCTCCAAACCAAAAATTAAAACTTTTCTTTCAAAATTTAGACTATGAAGTGCAAAACGGATACAGCATTATACCATATAAACTTGTGTAGGCCTATCTATGAAGCACTGGTCAGGCATGATCTGCATATTGTAAAAAGTGGGCTTGTCATCGGATATATTTTTATACTAACACCAATTTATTTTCAGTATTCTTTCATGGGGCAACACTTTAAAATAAGGCTTATAAGTAGATTTGAAGAATATCAACTAATACAACCATTACTTTTTGAGAAGTATAATAAAAATTTTAATGCAGTTATTAACAAATTGAACATATGTATATTTTTACAAATTTAATAAATGTATACATTTACATTCCAATATTTGAACTTACTTAAATACATAATACATTATTATATGTACAAACTAATACAGCAAATAATTTTTCATGAGTTATTAAGAATCACTTAAAAGTATAACTTTATATCTTATTAAATTTAAAAATGTACCAAACATGAAAAGTTAAAGGATAATTTATATATATGAAATAATTGTATGGTAGTAATTAATAGAGATCCAATAAAATTTTAAAAAGTTGATTGTAACACCAGAGATCTGAAAGTTCTTAAAAATGAATAAAATTCTTTGCAGCATAAATAAAAAAGGTATAATTATAGACTAATAAAAGAAATCTTGTTAAAAATCGTATTTAATTGGCAGTTCTTTATTTCTTCATGTACACTAATATCAGTAAAGTAAAATCTGAAAACTTTAATGAAAAATGTGGATAAATAAAAGTTGATAGAGTGTATGAATATGTTTGTTCTTAATACACATGTATTATAATAAAATTGTGTGGCCACTGGTTATGTCTTCAGTTAAATTTAACTTGTGTAAAATCTTCTATTTTCTTAGTGCAATTTTTTTTTTCATTTTATTTTACAAAGCCAAAAATATTTTACAATAAAATATTATTTAGTCTATGTTTATTACATGCTTCTCATATGAATTATATGTTAAAATGATTGCTAACAAAATGAGGCAAATCCTAAATGAATCCTTAGGTGTTAATTTTAAATGCTTAAAAATTAAAAAGTTTATAATTTTAAAAAATTGGAGAAATATTTTTTTGTCTGATTGGAGCTTCTTGTAAATTATAAATAATGTCTAATATAATTATTATTCCATGACATTTTTTTGTTGTTGTTGAAAATTGAACTTACTGGTTCACAAATCATAGATTTAACTTTTAAGAGCACATCTAGAAGATCATGAAGTATAATTTATATCAAATAAACCAATCTGTAATTTTTACTTTTTAATATTATTTAGGCTATCATAAAAGAAGGGAAATAGTGTGCAATAATAAAAACAATAATGAGAAATGACACAAGGCTTTTTAGAATAAAATTAAATATAATGCAGTTGAGCATAAAAATTAAATCACATAATATGGTGGGTTCAGGTGGTTGAGTGGCGAAAGAGGGTAGGGTCCAAGTCTTGGACACTTTTGGAGAAATGAACACATTGAGTTTTGAGTGTATAACTTTTAAAAAGATGTTAAATTTTAAAATATAGTTCAACACCACTCTCTGGCAATCCATGTTACTTGTTAGTTATTATATGCTCAGTCTGGTTTTAAAACATATTCTAATTATATGAAGTAACAATTAACAATTAGTAATTATCTGACATATTAAGTTAAACTACATTTCATTAACTTTCAGACTTTGATGGATTATAGTCAATAAATTCCACTGTTCCTGTATCTTCATGATAAAATTGTTGCTCAAATGAAGCAAATCTTTTCTTGTTCCCTGAATAAATGCAGATTTTTGCTGATTTACCAAACTTGCAATGAAGATCCAAAACTAAACTCATGATTGTGATAGGGACCTGACCACAATCACATTTAATTAGATTTTCTTTTTTATAATTGCTTGCCTTTTTTAACTGCTTTTCAGGAGAACCATAGGAGACATCATAAATAATTATGCTAACAGATTTTTCAGAAAATTCATATGCATTTATGGGCATTGTTGAAGCGTCTAATATATCAACACTTTCACTATCTGCAAACTCTGATATTGGATTGTCAGATATAAAGTCATTGCTATTTTTCTCTGCCACAAAAGTTTTTAAAGCTTCATTTATTTCCTCTCCCTTTGAAAGACCTGGTTTGAGATTATTTGAGGAAACATGGGGGTTGAAGATTTTCAGGCCCCGACCATGTAAAAACTTAAAATCTTTGAGGACATGAAAGTCATTATCATTTGAAATCACAGCAAACTTAATGTGAGATGGCAGTCGAAGATCAAGTTGGTGAATTAAAATAAAAATAACATTATCTGCTGCATTTTGTAAGGTGCCGATCGCCCTTGATACTAAAACATTTACATGTTGCTTAAATTCAGAGAAAATATTTGATTCTATCTTTGAATTTGAAGGTGATTTAGTCACAGCATTTATGCAAACCCAGATGAGGCAACGTTTTGTTAAGGTTTCTGTTTTCACATCCTTAAAGAAAGTAAGATAATTTTCAAAGTCCACAAATATTATGCAGTCATATTTGTTGAGACTTGAAACAATCTCCTTTCCTTTCTCGTCTTTTGTTGAATGCACTAAGTGTTCATAGTAGCCATTATCTTCATTGTTGATGACAGCAGCTTTCTTATAATTAAAATAGATTTGTCTACGTAGAGGGAATGGCAATGGCTTATAATTCAAGAATCTGTAGAACTCAAAATTTTTACACTTTAGGGGTTTCTTGAAACTTTCCCGCCAAACAAGAAAAAGGAAACATAATAGAATTATGTCTTCATCATTTACATTTTCAACAAGAGGAGAGCAATAGGGGGTATTCTTTATCTTCACACAACTTAAAAGATCTTCAATGTCTTGGATACATTCATCATTTTTTTTAGATGGAAGCGTAATATCCTCGATAGTTGTGTCAGTTTCTTCAGATATAATCTGTGTCTTAAAAATAGTTTCAAAGTGAAAAAAAAATTATGAACAAAATTAAATCATGAAAAAAGGCATAAGTTTCTCTAAAAATTTTCATTATGGTAATCCATAGGTTGGTTTCATTTGCCAAATAATCTTGAAAATTATCTGTCTTAGGCTTAGAAATAGTCTTATACTACATAGGCCTATCCATCACTTTATTTTATTTAGGGGATTATACATTTAATTATTGCTTAAAAATATCAATATTTATTTGACCTCCGATTCTTTTTTTTCCCTGATACAATACTTGTCATGCTGTTGATGTTCTTTTTGATATTTTCTACTATGGGGGCCATCCATAAATGACGTCACGAAAATTTTACCCCCATCTCCCCCCATCTCATAAATTGTCACAAAAAGTTAGACCTCCCCTCCCCCCCCCCCC